GTCCTTTTGCTTACGAACTTGCTTGGATAAGCTCCAAGTTTGAGCCTTGTTGAGCTAACATTTTCACTACCATCCCAGTGTGTCCTCAGTGAGGCGACCACAATACAGATAGTTCAAAATCCCAAGCACAGCCTGCATTTTGAAGAAGGACAAGAAATGTAATCTAAAATCATCTACTTCTCTGTAAGAGAAGCCCTTCCTTAAAGTTTAGCAGGGGAGGGATCTGAGATCTGGAGAATATCTGAAGGTTACGTCAACCAGGGTCCCTGCTCACCAACGGAATGCATGAATAAAGACCTCCACATGTCAGGACAGCACAAACAAAAAAACATTTTAGGAGTTTACTGTGTACAGAATATCAGACTAGGAGCCTTGGAGCATGTATAGAGGACTTAGCTATGGCTTCTGATCTCACCGAGTTCACACCGTACTAGAGAGAAACACATGTGAAGATAGAATACCGGTATACACTAGAGATAATCATAAATTTATTTCAACACTTTAAGAGGTATCATAGAACACCTACACACAAGATTTGCTCCTGAATAAATGGTAATGATAATAGCTTGATAGTGATCTAGCTATTGTTCTTACCACTCACTGTTTGAGTGCTTACTTTGTCCCAGGCATTATGTGAAATGCTTTTCAAGTGTAACTCGGATGTTCCCAGGTCCTTCAGCTTTCTCTGGGTCTGTTTCCTTTAATATTGAGGTAACATGCCTTGAGCCTCCATCCTTCATAACATGCAAAGTCTGACACATTCTACAATATTTGGGAAGTTTTCTGAGTGTGTGTGTATAAGGCGGTAATAGCAGGTGGTGCCTGTTACATCCTGACTCCTCTCCCAGATTCTTCTCCCTGAATGATGTTCAATTACCCCCTCCCAGCTGACCAATGTGGACCCTCCTTCTGCCCTTCTTATCCCAATTATGAAACTCTTCCCTTCTTCTTCATTCCCTAGAACATCACTCCTATACACGCATTGCAGCAACAAACTTTTCTGAAAGTTAGAGAAAAAAAATAAAAAGCATTAAGTATAGAACAGAGTTGAAAACAACCTAAGATTGAATATTTTCCATCTAATACTTTCTCGTCTTCTCTGTAAAGACATCTTCCACTTACTCCTCTTGCTCTCCAAATTCTGGGCTCCTCATCCTTCTGCCTTTTTTCCTGGATTGACTATAGACATCTGGATTTCAAATACTTTACTAAGCACAGAAAGTCAATTCTCTTTGAATTAGCCTTTTCCCATGATCTGAACTTACGGGGGAGGGGATGACAAAAGTAGCTTTGCCTTTCCCACCTGAAAGACATGTTATTTTCTAAGCAAAAGAGCAATTGTCTCTTTAAGAAGTATTCTTCTGTGTTGACCAACGACTCAAATGGAAGTAATCTAAAAATAACATTCTTGCTCTCCCACACTTGTCAAGCATCTACATATACGCATAATCTCTGGAGCCAGAGATTATTATGCCCATTTTACAGATGAAGAAACTGGGGAATAAGGAGATTAATGTACCTAATTCACCCAGTTTGTAAGTGACAACATTGGAATTCATACCTACATCTCCTGACTCTAAAGCCTTATCCACTTGACTACCCTATTTATATGTCTATGGTATAGAAAGCAATGGCTACCAGCATTCAAGAAAAGTGAGATGCTGGCAGAAAATAGAGGAGTGGAGATTTCTGTTGGAAAAAGAGACATATAAGTGAGAGCTAGTCCAGACATAAAGCCACAAAGATTTGAGCACAAGGATGGCAATGGGTGAGGGTTTGAGCCGATTAGTTGGGAAGAAAGCAAAAATTAAAAATGGTTTCACATTTTCTAGTCTGGGTGACGAGCATTATTCACTCATTTAACTAACACAATAGATACTGATAGGGCAGGCACTGTATATCAAGCATTGTACAAAGTGTTGGGAACAATAGCAGGAATAAGAAAGTCAGGTATGAGAGGATGAGGCATCTATAGTCAGTCATGAAGAGGTTGCAGAGAGGAGACACTTCCCCTTGTAATATCCCACAGTCAGCAGGAAATATTAACTCATTTGCCTAAAAGACGGAGGCACTCAGAGAACACCAGGGGGCAGCACGGACTCAGAAGTTAGAGTGAAGCAGGACCAGCTAATATTCATGTCTTCTTCTACAACATTTTGCATCTGAAACAGATTTTTTAAAATACCATTATTCTTAGGAGAGTACTTTTTAAAGTTCATAAGTAATATTAACTCATTAAATTCTAGCTTAAACTTGTATAGACAACCAAAGAGTGGTTTGTTTTAGGAGAAGGATATGTGTTAATATTACTTAGCTTCTACATAGTATAATTTATCCAAAAAAATCTAGCAGAAATATGCATATGATTAGGGCAACAATCTGAGCTGGACACATATTCCAAATGTTCTTAAACTGTACATGACCACATCCAAAATTCATAAGTTAACAGTTACCCATATTGGCAGAGATGAAAATATTGTAGCTGTGAGAATGTTGAGGGGTTGTAATACTGTTAAATGAGATAAATATTTTGTTACATAATTAGCATATTATAGTCCTGTATGTTTCATGTAGGTCTGTTTCTATATTTAGCATAATCCTTCTACCTTGGCTTTCTATCCCATTCCACCCCACCTTCCCTGAAATCATGTGCACTTAATAACCCCTTGTTTTCAGGTTGTTTCACTTTTCTTTTATAATTAGCTCTGTACCTTCTCACTTCATGTACTCACAAATCTCCATATAATACAACAGTGTGCTATTATTAGGGAAGGAACCAGCATGAAAGTTCCAACATCAAGCCAGCACAATAAGGGAGACCCACACAAAACAGAAACAGCACCCTCATTCCTCCAGGCTAAGAGTTTCTAGATGCTGTAGAAAGATGCAATTGGTAATTAATGCCAAATTCACTGTGGACATGATGGTTTAAAAGTCCACGATTTATATTTTACTATATAGAGTTATTCTTAATTGTTTAGTCAATGATAACTAGCTTATTCCAACTGTGAATTTAGTTCTTCTCAACTAATTCATTTGTTGTTCTTACCTAATTCTCAATTACTGAAATTCTTCAGTATTGATCCGTTAAAAACTAGTAATATGATCCAACAATGTAAAAAAGAAAAACAAAAATAAAAATTAGAAGACGCTTATGTTGTGAACAATCCATCCATCAAAACAGTGTCTATTTCTGGGATTTGGTGGAGCTCAAGAAGGCAGGAGAAAAAAAAATCTATAACAAGTAGGGAAACTGGCACAGAAAAGGGAGGAGAAAAAGAAAAACACCCTGCCCGAGCATGGGAGATCTTTCTTCTTCCAGCAGACTTGTTCATTTGTGACCGTTCTTCATAGAATCAGTGAAAATTTACGTGGAGTAAACTTAGCAACGGAAAACACGGCAATGTATTTACGAGTTTCCATGAAGCAGGCTTAAATGAATTTTTTAGCTATCAAGATAATAACACATTAAGCTTTACATTCTCTGTACTCAAATCACCTAACACTCGCCCAAGTAGAGGAGGCTTGGTAGACAGCACGAGATGCGGAAGTCTAAATAGCAGAATCTGCTCTTTCTCTCTCCACAAGATTGTGGAATGATTCCTGAGCTTCCCAGATGACATCAAGAATTCAGAGAATGCGCCTCAAAGCCTGCTCCATCTTAATGAAGGCATCTGTTGCTTCCATTCTTATTATTGAACATCAACCCGAAGTACTGGATCTTTTCTCCTACTGAACAGTCCAGTATTTACTTGAACTGTCAGGCACCCAAGATCTCCTGGCACAGCGGTAACAGGAGCCACTTTTGTCTCTGTCCTGTCCCCTGAATTTTAGTCAGGGAGGATGATGCCATTTACATGGTTCCTCCCTGACCTCCATTTCTGTCTCTCGACCTATGTCTAAACTTCCAGTTTTTCAACAGAGGCAGCACAGTTCGCAGAAAATAAGGCTGGAGGCTTTGGGGCCAGTTAGATACAGTTTGAAATCTGTTCAGGTAAAGCTTAGTTTCCTCATAAAATAGCATCAAAAGTTTTACCTATTCTGCTAAATTTCTGTGAAGATTTGGGGTAGCATAAATGTAATGAGGGAAATAGTTTTACGATTATGTTTGTAATTATTTTACTTCTGGTTTTCCTCATACATGGCCTTGGTCCTAGGGCATTCAAGGTACCCATCTGCCTGAGGGAGGGAGGTAAAGATTTTCAGAAAAGGAACAGAAAACAAAACTAACAACAGAAAAATGATAGATAATATTCGGTTTCTGTCATTTAAACTATAGTTTCGTTTAAATGAAACAAAACATTTAGAGCTTTAAAAGACATTAGAAATGTAGCTTGAAGCAAAACAAAGGCCTTTCAGGGGAGGCTTTTGCCTCAAGAAGGATTAACTAAATAAATTTATTGTTTTCTTTAGCTTAGAGTTTTAAGTAAGGGGTAAGTGGAGGGGAAGAGGAGGGGAGAAACCTGACTTTCTAGCCCTGACATGATTATGTAAAGGACACGGGGAGTGAAGCAGAGAGAGGAACGTGTGAGAGCCAGATAGATAGATGTGCCCTGATTCTTCTCTCTGAAATGTGTTATGTAAGTTGAGGGCATGACTCCTTTTCTCACTTTTGTCTGCATCTCAGCTTGGAGAACACCTCAAAAGCAGCCACATACCAGACAGGAAACATCCCACCCAGATAAACTTGGAGGTGCAATGTAGTCAGGTAGAGAAATGGCTTGAAATGTCGCTTCCCAGTCAACTCGCCATTCACATGAGACAAGGACTGTATTGAGAGCCACTGGACCTACCATGGGGTTGCTGGGTTAGGGCAAAGCACCCCACAGCAGAGGCTAAGGGTGGACTATCTGGCCAGGTGACCATGTGGAGATAAAAGAGAGACCTAGGAGTCAGCAGGCAGTGGGAGATGAGGAGAAGCTGAGGCAGCCTGTAGAGCTGACTGGTGCGGCCCAGAAGCATTGCCCAGAAGAAAGACCCACCAATAGATCAGCCCAAAATCGTGGGTTTGGAAGAAGTTGATCAAACAATATCACTCTAGAAGCCAGTGGATGTTTCCAGATCACACTTCAGATTCAACACAAGACCAGAATACCCTTTTCTCTCCAAATCCAAGAGGTTTTATGGCCACCCTTCACCATCTTCTATACCAACTCCACCACCTTAGAGAGAAGACAGAGAGAGAAAGAGTGATCTGAGAGACAGAACATTTTTATCCAATAGATACTTTTCTTTTTCTAATCCAAAAAGGATCGTTTTATGTTTTATGTTGGACTAAGTTTAAGTTACATTAGAGATTTGGTTTTTTTTCATCCCCCCACAAAGTGGGGGAAGGGGTAAGTCTATAGAAGAGTTTTTCCCTAGTCACAGACTAAATAAAGCTGCTGCAATGCATACCTTGCTTGTTCACATGATGCTTTTAGACCCAACTCAGTCCCAATGCCTTCCACCAAAATAAGCAGCCAAGACGCTGAAAACAAGGCCCAAGCACAGCCAAGTCATGTTCCAAGAGTAGTTATTAATGTCTCATCTGTCACAGGCTCCCTTTGCCAACAGTGAGAGTATGATACTCATGGCCAGGGATGGGAGACAACAGAGAACAATGGGTTCCATTTCCTTCTTTGTTGATCATACCCAGTAAATAAGCTTCTTTTTCATTTTTTAAAGGCATGATGTTAAGAGTGTTACATTTCATGAAAACAACTGAAAGTATTGGGGAAGTTTTTGCATAAGCTAATCTAAGGATGCTTTCTGCAACTCTCCCCATGGTGGGCCAACAATGTCACCCATTTCATACCCATGACTTTCAAAGGAAAGACAGCAGAGACAAGCCTCTATGCCATATCTGATTAGAGAATTACTTGTTAAACAGAGTCCTGTGCTCAAATGAATTCTTAGGACTTCAACCAAAGAAGAAAATTAAAAAAAATAAATAAAAAAAAAGAAGAAAAACCACAAAGTAAAACATGAGAAGAAAGTGACTGGGCCTAAGTGTTTACTTTGTACTACCTGGAACTATGTCATAAAATACAGGTAATTCAGCTTATAAAGCTACCTTGCCAAAACAATGCCCTTAAACACACTTGAACATAATTTGTGTTTAATTTTAAATAAAACTGATTAGACATATATATGTTTTATTAACCAACAAAGCCAAATTCTCACTAATGTGAGCTGCGTTTCTGCTTAAGCTTTGCAAATGCTGAAGTCTGTATATAAAAAAGCCCTAATTATGAAGGGAAGATAGGAATTTTCCAACTGGCAGCTCCTTTCTTGGTTAATTAAATGGTATCAGGAAGAAAAAGGTTGGCCATGTTATCTAGAAGAAAGTATTATTAAAGATGGCATTATATCCTAAAAACACTTAATACCCTGTGTTCCGGTTTCTAACATGCCATCTGGAGCAGCTACTTGGGGAAAATTACAGCAAATTGCTAGAAATAAAAATTGCTTCAGTTAATTTATTAACAAAGATAAAATTCTCTTGATGAAAAAATAGCATTTCAAGCGTCATTTGTGAATCATGATTTGACAGACAACAAATATAGAAGAGTCATAAAACTCATGTCTCTCATTAGGATCACCATCACCTTTATACTGTTAGAAGCCAAGTAACTTCTCAGAGACCCATCTACCTTTTTATAAAATAGAGATAACTTTTTAATACAAGAAAACCCGACTAAAAAGTCTTTTGAAGTGAATATTTAAGAACTAGCTATCAACTCCTAAGTCTCATACCTCTTTTTTAAATTTTTATTTTCTGACTTTAACAAGGATGGGATGTTCTGATTAATTAATCATTTTGTTCATAAAGCCCCAGATAAACAAAATTGTATTACAATAACCTTGCTTCAAAAAGCTTTTCATGATTTCTACAAATTAGATTAGGATGAGAGGAAAGATCGAAATGCTTAAGAAATGATCCCCCCAATAAACAGGCAATGGTGAGTAAAACTCCTATTTACTTACTTCTTGCCAGATGCTACAAAAGTCCAGGTACAAAATGAGGAAAAATTGCTGGTGTCACAAAGAATGTTTCAGCTCCATCGGGGACCACTGCAAAGTTAACAACAGCAGAGTCATTTTGGACCAAGAAGGATAACAACATGGTAACTTTATAGTCAACGCTCTCCATTTTTCAAGGGATGGAAATTTCTTGTGGCATGATTTATTTCTAGTTTTGCTAACAGAATTGCTCACCATTTTCTGTTTGAGAAAAAACATTCACCACATTGAAGCCTAGACCTGTCTTTAAAAATAGGAACATTCTAACTCGAGACTCATAATTTGGATGTGCAGGGTTTTGCAACTGTGTCTAGTAATCTTTTGAAAGTCTGTGCTCTTAGAGTAAATAGGTTTTGGAATGTTCAGTTGTAATAAAAGCAATAAAATAAGACCAAAGTATATTTTAAAACCACTTTTTGAGGTATGATTGATATACAAAAAGCCGTACATATTTAATATATACAACTTGATGCATTTGGATATAAGTATACACCTGTAAAACCATTCTCACAATCTAAGCCATAAACATACCCCTCACCTCCAAAAGTTTCCTCTCACCCTCTTATTATTTTGTGTATATGTGAGATAAGAACATATAACATAACATCTACATCTTAGCAAATTTTAAGTGTACTATACAGTATTAACTATAGGCTCTATGCTGTAAAGTAGATCTCTAAGAGTTAGGAGGTCTGGCAATTAAGTTCGTGAACTTGTTGCAATGATGTTGATAACCTTTTTTGATATCAGAGGGATTATTCATTATGAATTTGTACCAACTGGACAAACAGTTAACCAAGTTTACTATTTGGAAGTACTGAAAAGGCTGCGTGAAAAAGTTAAACGACCTGAACTTTTTGCCAACAATTCATGGCTCTTGCATCATGAAAATGCACCAGCTCACACGGCACTGTCTGTGAGGGACTTTTTAGCCAGTAAAGAAATAACTGTATTGGATACCCTCCCTATTCACCCAATTTGGCCCCCAGTGACCTCTTTTTTGGACTAAAGATAAAGGAAATATTGAAAGAAAGACACTTTGATGACATTCAGGACATCAAGGGTAATGTTATGTTCAACCTTACTAGAATAAAGGGAAATATAAATTAAAACAATGAGATTCCATTTCATTCACTTCAAACAAACAAAAATTAAAATGCCCGAAAACCCCAAATGTAGGAGTAATAGGAGTTTCCACATACTGGAAATGGAAATGAAAATTGGTACCACCATTTCAAAGAGAAAGTTTATAATGCCTATGTGACCTAGAAAATTTAATGTGTTTTTATACTTTTACTACATATATTCTACATAGGTTTTATTATATGTTATTCATAAGCATTATGTGGTGTTTTTGTTTATTTGTTCTGCTTAATACGCCCCATTTGTTTTGGTGTGTTATTTGCAAAAATTCCTTTCTCCTTCAGTTTTGACTGTTTATATCCCACCTACCCTTCTTCCAAGATGCATTTAATGAAATTTCCTCTGTAAAGGCTTCCCCACTCTCGTTCAACCCTGGCTAGACATAATCTCTCCTTTACCTATGCATCCTGACAGCAGTGAGCTAGTATGTCTTATAGAGAGGCTTTATCATATTCTACATCATGTTTGTTATTCCTATGCAACTCTCATCTTCCCGAACAATAGTGATAACGATAATAGCAGCTACCATTGTTTTGAGGGCTCACTATGCCAGAGGCGCTGTGCAGGCTAAAGCTTTATTCCTCACAATAGCTCTATAAAGCAAGCATTGCAATCTCTACAAATGAACAAACAGGCTCAAAGCAGTATGGTCCAAGATCACAGGGCTGGCAAGTGTTGATGCTGGGATTCAATAAGACCTCACTCCAACTCCAGAGCCCATTATCTCAGCCATTGTTCTATTGCTAGATCCAGAAGTCATTAAAAGAGAAATTTAGGAAACTTACATTTACTAAACACCCAAATTGTACCTGGCACTGGGGTAGGAACTTTCATGTATAATCTCTCATTTACCTGTGAGTTACATGGTATAATCCATATTTTGCCATTAAGAAAACCAAAGTTCACCATAAATACATTTTTTGAAAGGGGACTGGAATAAGACATCCTCAATGCATATAACTGGTGAATATATATACGTGTCCTAGAAGAAAACAAAGAAAATAATAACTCCCCTGGAGGAGAATGGGAAAAAACATGAACAAGCAAAGAAGAAACCAGAATAACCAAAAATATATAAAGTGATGCTCGGCCTTACTAGAATGCAGGGAAATACAAATTAAAGCAATGCCATTTCACAGCCATCAAATTGACAAAAGCTAAAAATGCCTACCACCTCAAATGTAGGAGTAAGAGACAGTTTCATTCTGAAAGTGGGAATGAAAATTTGTGTAGTCATTTTGGAGGGAAATTTTGTAATGCCTATATGACCTAGCAATTTTACTTCTAAATATATGCTCTAGAGAAACTATCCCCAAGATGAACACAGGTGTGTTCCACTAGTATAGTTTGGAGAATGAATAAACTGTTGTATTGTAATATAATAAAATATTTTACTGAGTTAAAAAGAATAATCTATATATGTATTAAAAATAGGTGACTCTTACCTGAAACTAACAAAAAAAGTGAATCTTAATAACATAACACCGAATAAAAAATCAAGTTGCAAACGTGTGCTATTTATGTAAAATTTAAAACACACAAAAACACCAAATAATGTTTATGGATAATATATAATAAAACCTGTGTAGAATATATGTAGCAAAGTATAAAAACACATTAAATTTTCTAGGTCACATAGGCATTATAAAATTTGTCTTTAAAATGGTGTTACCAATTTTCATTTCCATTTCCAGTATGTGGAAACTCCTATTACTCCAATATTTGGGTTTTCAGGTATTTTAATTTTTGTCAATTTGAAGTTAGTAAAATGGCATCTCATTGTTTTAATTCGTATTTCCTTTCATTCTAGTAAGGCTGAACATCATTTCATATGGTTACCTCTAAGGAAGACAATACAGGAATGAGATTAGGGCTTGTATTAATTTTCTATCTCGGAATAACAAATGACCACAAACTTAATAGCTTAAACCAACACCCATGTATTGCCTTACAGTTTCTGCAAGTTGGAAGTCCAGGCATGGTTTAGCTGGATTTTCTGATCACGGTCTCACATGACTGAAATCAAAGTGTCAACCACGCTGTGTTCTCATTCAGAAGCTCAACTAGGAAAGAACCTGCTTCCAAGTTCCACTGGGTCATTGGCAGAATTCACTACCTTGCAGGTGTACAATTCATGGCAGTTTGTTTCATTAAAGCCAGCAAGTAGAGAGGTCCTCTATTGCTGTGTGTCTCTGGTCTCCAGCCCTCTTTGAAGGGGTTCCCTAATTACAATAGATTTGGCCCAAACAGGGTACTCTTCCTGTTAGCAAACTTAAACTCAACTGATTAGAGACTGTAATTACATATATAAAATCACATAACCTTTGCCATATAATGTAACCTAATCAAGAGAGTGACATTCCATCATCTTTCCACATTCTATTAATAAGAAATCACCCACAGTTTCTGTGACTCAGGGGAGGGGACTATTCAAGAGTGTGGATCATTAGACGTAACCCTAGCAAGTGACCCCACAGGGCCAGAACCTTGGATTTAGACTAGAATATGTTCTCTCTCCAAAAACAGAATCTAAATTTTAACACTCGTTCAATCTTGATGTTGCATACACAGATCTCTGTTATATTATTTTTGGGTTTTTCTCTATCATTGAAATAGTTCAAAATGTAAGCAACATTTTTTTTTTAATTACTAAGCATGCTCACCAACAAAGGACAGCTCAAAAGGCCAACAGAAGCAAAAGAGGAGGATGCAGAAAGGAGTCAGGTTTGACGACATCATCACTTTGTCTGAACATCTGATTCTGAAAGCCCCAGAACACAGTCTTGTTTACATTTTTTTGCCTGTTTTAAAAACCAGTGGGGAGCCAGCCAAGTGGCTCAGTTGGTTAAGAGTTAGCTTAGTGCAAGCTCTGAGCAACAGGGCCACCAGTTTGATTCCCACATGGGCCGGTGATGCTGTGCCCACGCTGAGCTGCCGCTGAGCTGCCAACAGGTGGCAGGATGGCTTAGCTGGTGAGAGCACATGCTCCTAACATCAAGGTTGCCGGTTCAACTCCCGCATGGGATGGTGGGCTATGCCCCCCTGCAACTAAGATTGAACATGTCACCTTGAGCTGAGTGACCAGGAGCTGCCACCAGGCAGCCAGATGGAGACTAGACTTGGAGCTGAGCTAGCTGTGTCCTCCTCAACTAAGATTGAAGGACAACAACTTGGCTGTTCCCCTTCCTCAATTCCCTAACACTGTTCCCCTTCCCCAATTCCCCAGTAAAATCTTTAAAAACAAAACAAACCAAAACAAAACTGTGGGCCTGTGGACCCAATGTCTGGCCTTCTTGGCCAATTAACAAAATGCACCTGTGTTGTATTTTTATTTAATGAAACAGGAGATGAGTTCCTCTGGCTCCCAACTGCTGATGTTAGTAACTGGATAGCAACTGGCTTATTCTCAAAGTTGCCATCTAAAAGCCACTGCAAATCCAAGAAAACAAGGACCCAGGATCATTAAACACATTTTTTGTCACATCCCTGCAAAAAAAAAAAATCGCTCCATGTCCAATAAGAAACTGACAGTATCAGGGAAACATATCTTGTCCATTTGTGGATTAAGTGTATGCCCCAAATTCTAAAAATGCATTTTCTTTACTAAGAGTTAGCAAATCATAACAAGTTTCAACAAGATCTAAACAGACTGGAAGTTTGAATTATATAAGCATATTTTGGTGCCAAGAGAAAACACTGTAGAATGGTGTAAGCAACTCGAAGAATAGAGGGTCTGAATACATATCTAAGCAGAAATGAGGAATTAGTCCTTTTCTAGAAAAGTAAGGAATGATGAATTAATATTTTCAAACTCGCTCTTCCTTAACACATTGTACTTATTTTAAATTGGTTTGCTATTTTATTTGCATTTAATTTAAATTGTTTTATTTTCCCTCTTTCAGAAAAAT